GTCTACTATCCCTGTAAACTGATTCACGCGCAAGTCACCGTCCCTGCTCTCACCCTGCTGTGGAGCATACGTAGGACACCATCGGATGCGACGGTCGAACTATCGTGTGTGTGCGCGTACATATGATTAGTAATTTGAGACAAGTCCAAGAGATCAGAGTTAAACGGAAGTATACACATAATTAACCACAGACCACACCGTGTTCCTTGGACACGGCACCTCCAACACCACTCTGAAGTCATTATCAAATGCTGGTCATGATGCCCGCAGGAACACTGACCAACCTCCCGATTACGTCATTCCATGTTAGCGCACACATTTCTAAACTGTGCTTTTCCCACTAAACTTCGAATCATTTGGGACCATGCCCCCATACCTGTAAGAGATCATGATTAAATCCTGCGCTGCGTTCATGAAAATAACCACAGTAGTGTAGCCGTATAAAATTACCAACTTCGCTTTCTTCTATGAATTTATGACAAAAGCGAATGAGGAGGAATGCAGACCTCTTTCCGTTTCCAAGGACGGAAAGCGTATCCATTGGACCCAGTTTTGAAAAAATCGACAGCCAAATCCGCGAGGGTACGGCTTGAGTGCATACGGCGCTCTAACTACCTGATATACAAGGCCCCGACAGAGAGCCCTAAATGGACTTGCAATGGGCTACGCTGTCTCGCCCCAGCACGTGTAGACAATTTTTGGAAGTGTTATTTACCACAAAACATCTCCGTACATATTTTCATTAAGTAATTCTGCCATTTAACTGTCGGTAGACTGTGGATCATGTCATATGCAATCGCCATGCTACCACATAACTATGGATATTCGAGACTCTCCAACTTCGTCAGGCATCATTGTACTTGGTGTGATGACTGCTTGATGGCCAACATTCGCGTCGTAAACCGCTGCATTTCGGCCTAACATTTAAATTCGACGAGGTCGAAATTCTCGCTAGAGGTGACAGCCGCGTGAGCCGGGAGCTGCTTGAGTCATGGTTCACTGGCTCCCAGTCCATTAACAAGTGTAACGACCTCCTTCCATACTCAGTGCTGAGACTTAGCCTAGTCGGAGTAATTAGCCACGCGGAGACCGCACAGGTGAGCGCTGGTCCCAACGCCAGGGTCGATGCGTCAGATAATCGAGCAATCATCACACCAGCATCCAACGCACGTGATGAGATTGCAGCAACTGACGACGCGAATGTCGACCATCAAACAGTTATCGCAGCAAGTACAACGATCCCTGATGAAAGGGGGGAACCGTGGATATTCATAGGTATGCGGTAGCATGACGACTGCATCCTATAAATACTGCAGTCCCTTGTGCATGAACCACCCGTATCTGCTTTTGTCTCTGATGATGGGTTCGAGCAGGAATCCGAAACTTCAGGCTAATAAAGCTCTTGTCCCAGCGATCGTGTCTCCTTCTTCAAGACTGATTCCTGGGGTTCGTCTCTTCGCTTCTATAGACCTCTTTCAGCTTTCCTAAACGGAATGCGTGTCCATTGGACCCCATTTTTAAAAAAATCGACAATCACGTCCGCGAGGGCACGGTTTGAGTACATCCGGCGCTCTAACTACCTGATATGCAAGGCCCCGACAGAGAGCCCTATATCGACTTACGGTAGGTGGGTTTACTCATGAAATGTCAACCGAAATTTCGAAATGAGTTCTCGTTTCGAAAAGATTAATTAAGAATGGTTGTAACCATAATCATCGCTCAGTTACCGCAGGGTGCCTTCTTTAGAACGAACCTATTTCCGACTGCATGCAAGATCTATACTTAGCAAAAAAAAGACTACTTAAGTATCATGCCATTGTCTCATTAATTTTCGGTGCCCTTAAAGTCAACAATATTTCATAAAAATGCATGAAATATTCATGCTTTTGCTCATTGGATAGAAAATATCGTCTTCTCTCAGTTTTGTACTGGAAGGACGAACATAATACGGTTTCAAAAAAGTTTCTAATTATGAGAATTTTTAATACCGTGAAATGGTCGTTCATAAAACGTCATGTATCTGCATTTACGAATGTGGCTTGTAAAGTTAACAATATTGCTCAAATCCACTGCTTAATTTTATGAACCCCATATGGTCTCCTCTTAATACCGTTGTGAAATGTATGGTTCGCCGTACACGGAAGATATACGGCTTGTAATTTTGAAACCCTGAATGCAAGTATAACAGCAGGTCGGGTTCAGAAGTATTCGGAAATTAGAGACGTTTATTAAAACCGAATTATACTGTGCCTTCGAGTATAAAATTAAAAGAAGACGTGATTTGCTACCGAATAAGCAAAAGAATGAATATTTTTATGCATGTTTTCCATAAAATGTAGCTGTAATTTTAAGGGCATCGAAAATCAATGAGAAAATTGCATGCTAAATAAGGAGTCATATTTTACAGAGTGTATTTTTTGCCTGAAGTCGGAAATAAGTTCATTCGATAGCCGGCATCCTGAGGTAACTGGATCATTATAGAATTGTGTTGCATGATGATTAGTTTTACAACCCTACTTAATTAATCTTTTCGAGACGAGAACGCATTTCGAAATTTCGGTTGGCATTTCACGAGTTAGCCCACCTACTGTGCAATGGGCCACGTTGTCTCCCGCCCAGCTTGCAGAGACGTGCAAAATCGACCAACGGTGAGTGATCTCAGGGCTCTCAGTGGGGCCCTCATAACTCGGGTGGACAGAGCGTCAGCTGTGCCCAAGCCTTGCATTTGCGGTGTCAGCTTCAAATATTTCCATTGCCGCTCAGTTTATCATAGTTGGGACAGTTGAATCATGGAAAGCTACACCAAAAAAACCTAGCAAATGGTGTTTACACTAAAGAGAACGTCACCGAACCAGCTGATCGTCCCACCTCATTCGCTGAGCTAAGTGGCGTGAGGGCGTGGTTGTTATAACAACAACTGCCCTCTCTCTGCCTTGGCCGAGACACACACATGTAATTTTTTTGCGATGGCACACGGTGCGTCCATCGGTGGCCGTTCATCTCCCCCATATGCCTGATAGCCGCCTTTGCACACGCTCAGGATTTCGCGACAGGCCCCCTGTCTCGACGCTGTCACATGTTCCCACGTCATTTATTATCTGCCCTGTCTGGTTAAGTTGCACTTTATTAGTCAGTTTAATTATTATCTGTTCGTCAGTTTTTATTCTGTTCTAGTTAACTTTTGGGGTGCGAATGGGTCATAATTTAAGAGGAACACAATAGTACGTCAGGTACCTGAACTAACCCATCGCAATCTGTCATATCTCTTACAAATAATAAAAATTGACTCGTCCCAAGCGTGGGGACGAAGAGAATGTCAATTAGCTGGCGAATCTGACAGTCAAGGTTTCGACGACCCGGGTTTGTGAGGGATACAGCACAAATGGGCGAACAGGTCCTGACACCCGATCGGCGAATGTCCCTCCAATATAACTGGTATTTTGGATTGCATCCGACAGGGTAATTAGCCCGTGGTTCATTTGGCAGTGTTGGACATAATAACGTTTGGTGATCCGGAATTGGAGCGCAATTGCTCCAAAACCTGGTATTAAGTATGGCTGGTTGATGGCGATTAATAAACCAAAGATGGCCATTCCGTCTCCCCTGTCTTTGTCGATAAGCTTAATTTGCCGACAGAAAATGCGACCAGATTTATTGTTTCGGGATTATTTTACCTTCATGCAGCCCTCCTCGCTGCTATTATGACTTGGTCGACTTCGGCCTGATAGTTGGTTGCCTGTTCGTGACCTTTGCCACCCATACGGCGCTCGTTTGCTTCGTGAAGCCAATAGATCGGTGTGCATCCTTTCCTGATTGAATAAATACCCGATCTGCAGCGACAGAGAATGACAGGTGGCGAGGCACTGATTAACCTTGGTTCGATGAAGTGCTTATGACCCATCTGGTAGGCCTCAGTGGTGGACCGACTGCGCCAGGTGCGTCTGTGCGCATGTTTGTGTTTCTGGTTCCAGCTGCTGGTGGTCAGGGTTATGATTGGCTGAATGAAGGCAGAATAAGCCCGAAACAGTGCTGTATCAATCTACCCACATTCTCTGTCGTCCCTCCTCGCTGCAATTATGACTTGGCCAAGCTGCGCCAGGTTTGCCTGTGAGCATCTTTGTGTCTCTGGTCCAAGCTGCTGGCAAGGGCTGATTGGCTGAATGAAGGCAAAGTAAGCCCGAAACAGTACTGTATCAATCTACCCGCATTCTCTGTCATCCCTCCGAGAATTCCTGGAGGCAATGCGCTCAGATGAGGCATGCATCAACCGGCATATCGATCTAGATGCCACATACAAAATCTTTAAGGACAGATTCAAAATGGGTCGACCAGTCCCGAGAAGATAACTAACCAATCATAGGATCCTTTGTCAGACTCGGTCTAGAAGTTAATTGTTTTTGTACGCCGTTTTCTGAAGACGAGCTGGGGAACCCGTCTCGAAAATTTACACAATAAAGTTTACTGTTTCCCAAAGAATCCCATCTTCCTAATTAAATCCCTTGGGATGGCTGTTTTTCAATTCATCTATATATATTTATACAGGTTGAATAGCTGAGGTAGTGTGCATTACGCGATAATTTGGTGAACATAGAAGGCTCGTCGGAAAAAGTCGAGTTGTATTCGTGAGTGTTCGAGCTGGTGACACCAACCCGTCGTCAGACGAAATAGACAGAGGAGGAAGTGAAATTGTCAGACTAAATGAGTTGGCGCGACAGGACAGCTATTGACAGGCAAGCAATTAGTGTGTGAAAGAGAGTGGACACATAATTAGGCTAGGATCTAGGGTGGGGGAGAGAGGGGAGAACTGTTGCAGCTCCCCGTGTTGGAGGGTAGGGGGACGATAATTCAATGGGACTGCAGACATTGGAGTTGGTCGTCAATCCGGCATGCGAGCAGAGGTCAGTGAGCCAACGTAGAGGTGTTAGGGCCTGCAATTGCTGTTAGCTGTGTCTGGGGTAGGGGGTGGCGAAATAGTGTGGTTATACATGGCCCGGTATGGATTAGCGGCTGTTGTTGGGTCGTGAGCGCAATTCAGTGAGCCGGGCACGCAGACCTTCGTAATGAGCGTCCAGGTCGACATGGCGATTGATGCTGGTCGTGTTAGAGTGCCAGGCGTCGAGGAATTCACGGGCCTCTTTGGTGTTTGCCATGGCAACAACTTCAGTTCCTTTCCACTTGAAGTTATGGTCGCATTCAAGAGCGTGCGCAAACACGAGTGACATGGGGTCACGTCGGCGGATAGCTAGTTTATGTTCATTTATACGCATCCCAAGTCGTCGGCCTGTATGACCAACACAGTCGCAAGAGCAGTTAGCACACGGAATGCGGTAGATGACATTGGTTTGCTGCTCTTTGGGCATGGGGTCTTTTATTCGGGATAGTGTTTCGCGAGGGGAGGACGCTGGCTTCTGGCCAATGAAGATGCCAAACCGGTTTAGTTGTCGGGCGATCGCTTCAAAAATGCCCTGCATGTAGGGTAGAGAATAGAATTTACGTAGTTCTGGTCCCTCTGTAGAACCAACGCCTTGTGGTTGTCTCCGGTGTCTGAAACATTTTTTCACAAAACTGACCGGGTATCCGTTGAGCCGGAATACCCGATACAAAAAGTGAGTTCTTTCCTAAGTAAATCATCGCTGCTGTCTTAACGATAGGTCCGGTGGAAAAGGATTCGGACACAGCTCTTTTTATGGGCCGCAGGAGGGTTGCTTTCATAATTAAGAATGACGTCATCACTGGAGTCTTTTCGGTAGACGCTCGTTGCAAGGCCACCACCATTGAATGTTTGGATACTAATGTCTAGAAACGGGAGAATGCCTCCTGTTGCCTCTTCGCGAGTAAAGTGGATAGATGGGAAGACGCTATTAAGACTCTGATGCAATTGCTCAACTTCGCATATCATCATTATAACAAATGTATCGTCTACTTATCGGAGCCCCATTTTGGCCTAAAAGTTCGCATAACTTCCTCTTCTAGTTTTTGTAGTACCCGTTCAGTTAATAGACTTGATATTGGCGATCCCATTGGTGTACCTCTAACCCGTTGATAAAACTTTTCATCGAATTGACAGTAGTTCTTGAGACAGAGTCTAAGCATGTCTGAACCGTATGGTATTGGAATGCTGGTTGGATTATCTTGCAGGCGTCGGGTTACGCTCTCAATCGCCAGGTCATGTAGTATTGAGGAAAACAGGGCAGTCACATCAAAAGATAGAATACAGTCATCAGGACTTACTTTGAGGCCTTGGATCTTATGGAGGAATGCCTGAGAGTTTTTTATGCTGTATTGTGATCCATTGGTGAGGTGCTTCAGGTGCCTGTATAACCATCTAGCGAGGTTGTAGGTGGGCGATCCAATAAGCGGCACTATGATCCGCAGTGGCGCACCTTCTTTGTGCACTTTTAGGAGACAGTGGGCATGGGCTATTCGTGGGTCGTTGAGAGTCATACATCTGGAGTCATCGGGGATTATGAGTTTCCGTCTAGTGAGCTCATTCGCCTTCTTTTTCACACCGACTTGCTTTTTATATGGGTCCTCCGCGAGTGGTGCGTAGGCTTCCCTGTCGTTAAAGACTTGGTTCGCCTTGTTGACGTAACCACTCTTTTCCATGATGACGGTCGCGCCACCTTTGTCAGCAGACACAATCACTATACTGTCGTCTGTCTTAAGAGAATGTAACCCCCTTTCTTCATCGATAGGCAAGACTTGGTGGTGCTTCTTTTGTCGAAGTAGACCAGTGGCACAGCTGAGTATGTCTGCGCGCATGTCTTTAACCACAGCAGAGGTCAGTAAAATAGATTCAAGGCTGGCTAGGAAGTTTTTGAGCAAAGCATCAGTGGGACTGAATTTTGCTCCTTTAGATAGCAGACCAAGTTCAGCGGATGTTAGACTCCTTTTAGAAAGATTAACAACTCTTGTCGATCTGCTGAGTTCGTTAACAGAAAAAAGAAGAGATTGCAGTTTCACTAGAAGATCGCTTCGCTTTTTCATTATGGCGTCTTAAGCGGTGACGTTTATTCGCAGTAGCACGTCTCCAAGTACATTTTCAGGCAATGTTGAAACACACTGCCCTCGAAGGATGGATGTTGTCGCATCGAATTTGCAAAGGCGACGGTGGACGTCTGATATAATGGTACTCAAAACGCGAAATCCGTATTTGTGTGCAAGTAGCCTCCCAGGCCCATTCTCGATGACTACGGAAAAATACAAGGGAGACTGGAATTGCCACGGGTATACTGAATGGCTGGGAAGGCATCATTCTGTCTCCGATGCAACCGTTCGACTTCGCAGTTTTTTATTACAATGAAGGTGTTATTTACGTAGCAAGGCCAAATTTTGCGCTTGGCAGTTTGAAAACTTCCTCTTCTAGTCGCAGCAACACTAGTTGAGCGAGCCCATTGGGTTCCCTTTATCTGTTGGTATTGTCGAATTGGCCATAGTTCGTAATGAAAAGTTTGAGCAGTTCTAGAACATGCTGCGTTGGGATTGTTCTGTAGGCATTGGGCTACGCATTTTACTGTCAAATCATGTGATATGGTAGAAAACAAGATAACGACGTCAAAAGAGAGAAGGCATTCATCAGTACTAACTTTGAGGAGTCGGGTCCTGTGAAGGAACGCGCGGGATTTGTTAATGCTGTAGTTAGATCCCCGAGTAAGCCAATTTACTTGACTACACAACCACTTAACTATATTATAATTTGGTGATCCAATGAGTGCCATTATAATCCGCAGGGGAGTATCCGCTTTGTGCACTTTTGGGAGACCGTACACTTGTACAACATGGGGATCACTGAGGATCATCAACTTGGAGTCATTCGGACCGATAACTTTCAGCCGAGCGAACTCATTAACCTCCTTCTTGACGGCTGCGTCT